TTTTAACTAGAAGCAAGCAATCTAAAATTACATACATTTTGCAAAAGGTAAAGCATGGATCTGAAGATAATGCAGAAAAATGCTCAGAGGATAAGGATAACTTGCCAAAAAGAAAACGCTCTCGGTTAATTAATAGTGTTTTTAGTGATGACGAAGAAAACATTGTTTAATTTATATTAATATATATCACTTAAAAAATTTTAATGAAGATATTTATCTTAATTATGAAAATATACCATCATGTTTTTTTAATTTTTGGAACCTAACCCTCTTTTTCGTATTAGTTCTTTGTTTCGTATAACACGGATTCGCATAACACGGCAATTTTTTGGAACGTAACTACCGTGTTATACGGGGGTTACCTGTATGTTGAATTTTTTTGTGTATTCAGCAGGGCTTTGGAGTCGGAGTCGGAGTCGTGGAATTTTAGTGTTTTAGTCGGAGTCAGAGTCGTCAAAAAATCCGCCGACTCCGACTCCTTTTTACTTCCCAACTTGTTATGTATATAAAACTGAAAAGTATTGAAATCTTGTCAAATTTGATCCTCCAAATTTTTCGCAAATCTACACGTTAGGAAACCTCCCGAATCCAAAAATATGCGAACTTAAGGGAAAAAATTCGCGCTTGTGTCTTGGCATCTAATTTGTTTAATTTCATTATTCTCTGTTTTGAGATATTAAACAATATTTCAGAAAGGGTAAAGTTCAAGAAACGAAATTTGGCACAGTAGTTTCTGTTTAAAGAGGCGTTAATGCTATTAAATTTTGGCTCTTAATTAAAGGTCGACAGGGTACAGACATAGAAGGATTCACGTGTCATTTCTCCAATGCGGTCGAACTAATGAATATTTTACTCGTTATCAGCGTTCACAATTTTTAAAAATAAAACTCGTCTCTACTCTCAAAATTAAGGTTTTTGTCATTTTATAATAGTACAGTAAAACCCGTTAAGATGTTCTCGCTTAAGATATTAGAATATGTATGGGGGCACGATTTAGTTCATCCACTTTGAAGCTTAGTAACTTCCGATTCCGATTCAAAAACCACAGAAGTTATTAGGCTTCAAACTGGGTGAACAAAATCATCGTGCCCCCCCGTAAACACAGTCCAACATCAATGCATACAGGAAAAAAATAGAATCTTTTGCGTATCTCGACATTTCGTGATGTCCCGAGTCCAAAATTATGAAAATTTGGGAAGGGGTCATTTTTTGACCGATGGCTACACTTTCCCTCTGTTATATATAACAGCCGGAAAAGTAAAAATAATCGAATACATATTTATATATTGATTGTGTCATTACTTTGAGGAGTCTTTTAGCTGTGGAATAAAAAAGTTTCTACGTTCTATCTTTATTAGAACGCTATTTATGGAATATTTTATTCTGAGGTTACGTGATGTCATCACGTAACCTCAGAATAAAATATTCAATAAATAGCGTGATGACATCACCTACGTGATGTCATCACGTACGTGATATATTCAATAAATTACGTGATGATATCAGAATCTTCGGGTCTACTCTGGTAACAATGAAACGCCCCTGATCGGAGTCGGTAGATTTTTACATGACTCCACAGCCCTGATATTCACTATCCAGTATAATATATTGAACAAACTGGTTAAATATTTTAATTAGTTTACTAGTGATCAGCTATTCTTATAAATTCCATTAGCATTACTCCATTAATCGACTGAAATTAATCAATATCGGTATAACTAACCCAGTAAATATCATTTGCGTATAACACGTGTATGATGTAGAGGAAAATATTACACCAGACTATATTTTTCTTCTGTTGCATATCGACCAAACAGAAATACAAGAGAACATAAACTTTGATAATCGATATCGGGCTATTTGATAACGTATTTGTCATGTACCTTAACTGTTTCCTCGTGGAGTCAAATCCTATATCGAGTCCTACTGAAAAAGACTGGCACAATTTAAATTACAAAGTCGTACAGTATCTCGAAACTCAGTAAAAAGCGTTTATGTTTCGATTAAAATACTCAAAGGGGGCCCTAAATGAAAAGAGTGGAAAAGTTAACTTATTATTATAAGGAATGAAAATAAGCTAACACGTAGAAATGTTAGAAGTAACGTTCAATTATTTAACTTATTAAATTAAATACATTAAAAAGATATACAGAGAAATACAGAAAACATTACTTTAGAAGAAATGAATAATTCGACATGTGTAAATTTAGTTTTTGTAATTTTATTTATTAATGAAAAGCATTATTTGAACTTTAAAATGTTAGAATAATCCTGTTTGTAATAAATATTATTTTAATAAAATAATCATTTTTGAATTATTTTGAACTATTNAGAATTTAAAGAATGAATTCTAGTGTATTTTAATATAATTGATGCAGACAATAACTACATTGCTAATGTAATTTTTTATTTATCTAAACAATAACTATCAGCGAATACAGACCTTAATTGAAAATAATTATAACATTCCAAAAAGAAAGTGAAATGATCAGAGAATTTAGAAGAAATGAATAATTCGACATGTGTAAATTTAGTTTTTGTAATTTTATTTATTAATGAAAAGCATTATTTGAACTTTAAAATGTTAGAATAATCCTGTTTGTAATAAATATTATTTTAATAAAATAATCATTTTTGAATTATTTTGAACTATTTTGAACAGAACAATGTGTTTACGTAACAGAAGACGTAAACTCATGACGGGTTGTAATACGTCAAGCGTTGTTAAAAACATATTCAAACAATACGTAACAAACTGTAATAATGTATTGTTGATTTTTTGTATTGTAGGTGACCATTGTTAAGCGTACATTTGTTCGAAAGTTTCACGTTTTTTTCTTTGTTTCTTTTAGATTTCTATGAAAAATTGTGATTAAGTCTTCGGAAATGTACGTGAGGAGAAGAGGGATCTCTGTGTCCCGTTTTTTTAAGGCCTGCTTGGGTGAAGACAGAAGACGTCGACGAAAGATAAAAAGGGATCTTTGTGTCTGGCATCTTAAAAACCCGCTTGGATGAAAACAGAAGACGCGGCTGGGAGGCAAAGAGCGCTCTCTGTGTTCCTCTTATTTAAGGTTCGCTTGAGTGAAGACAAAACAGTGACGGGAGATGGCATCTTTGTCTTTGTCATCTTTAAGGCCCGCTCGAGTGAAGACTGCGCGGACGAAAGGAGGAAAGGCTGTTTGTATCTCGCCTTATTTTTTAAAAAATAAGATTCGATATGAGTGTGAAGTGAATTTTCTGGCCCTAACGTGCGTTGTATTACGACCTGGTGTATTTATAGTTTTCTGTTTCCTTTATCCAATCAACTAGATGTAGTAATATTGCACTTATTAGTTTAGTCGGTCCCTGATGTGATAAGCCCTCCAATTTATTACAACTCTATATGTTACGCTAAATAATTCATTTTAAATTAAGTTATAATACGTTAAGTTTGGAACAGTTGAAACTGAGGTATTGAGAGGTAGTGCTATATATTTTCATTGTGTGAATTAGGGGGAATGAAACTCCATAAGTGATATTGATCATTTGTGGAGTTGCATTCTTTCCAACTCTTGATGGAACTCTAATGCAGACACCTCCACGTGGTGAGTTCTGGGTTGTCGTTCGTCTACAAATGACGAAGGACAAGCGAAGAGCTGCTTGTTCCTTTCAATTGAATAATAAGGAATGAAAACAATAAAAGCAGAAATTACATAAGTAATTAAAATTAGAAAAATTAACTTTATTATTATAAGGAATGAAAATAAGCTAACAGAAATGTTAGAAGTAACGTTCAATCATTTAACTTATTAAATTAAATACATTAAAAATATATACAGAAAAATGCAGAAAACATTTATTAATTACTTAATTACTTCTAATTAATTTAATTACTTAATTAGTTAATTTACTTAATTAATTAAGTAATTAAGTAAAGTAATTACATAACTAAATTGTTCGCTCTTTCCAAGTTAAATTACGTTATTTGCACCCTAATATCGTTTTCGTTTCCGCGTTAGACGGGTTATTTCATAAAATACAGTAGGGTTTCGTGATTTTAATATTGGACTACGACTAGCAAATTGATATATTTGTGAGGCTCTAAACTACTACATGTGGGTTGACACACTAGTGTGACCGAAGAATCGGAACCTCCTCGATGCCCTATCGGAACTGACATCACTGTGTTTTAGAGAACACAGAAATCACGATGACGAGTACGAAATATTTACTATTTTATGATGTAGGGTTTTACTTTATTCCCTTCTAATAATTTAGCCGTCAATTTTTTAAATTCAGAAACGAGTCCTTTTCCATTTATTGTAATTGCTTGAGATCCATGTGTCAAAAATTTCATTTATTTCTATACTTTCGAAACGCATCTAAACTATTTTGATAAATATCGAGCTTTTCTGTAAATAATTTTATTTGACCCGCATCTCTAATAATCACTCTGATGGCCGTACGGTTTTTATATGCGATATGAAATATTTATTACACACTGAATAATATAGTTAGGGTTTGATATTCTGTGTATTATGAATATAAGTACACGAGGAGAAAAAATAACTTCGTTTTAGTCCGTAATATTTTCTTGTTTACTGCAGCCAAAAACTCATCTCTTAGCTACACGAGACGGATCAATATACATTCGAGATGTAGCACGCCGGCTCTATTTTCATTGTAGGAAAAAGTATAATCGTTTAACATTAATTCGAGTTTCGAGTTACAAATTACGAATTATTTTAGAGATAAGATAAATTGTTTTATCATTGCATAATTATGCCAACTAAATTGATGAGACTGTGTTCGTCCTCTGTATTCTTTACCCGTATCTTAGATAAACGAAAAAAGAATTTAAAGAATGAATTCTAGTGTATTTTAATATAATTGATGCAGACAATAACTACATTGCTAATGTAATATTTATCTAAACAATAACTATCAGCGAATACAGACCTTAATTGAAAATAATTATAACATTCCAAAAAGAAAGTGAAATGATCAGAGAAAATGTTATTCTAGAGCGTTAGTGTTGAAGTTCCACAACGACGCGACGATTTTCGCACATCACAAACAATAGAAAATGCAGAATGTAGCGCTTCGCTCGCCTGAAATATTTAAAGTTGATAAAACATGAAATTTAAATTTACTCATAATTTCAGAAATTCGTACCTTTAAGGGAGTTTTTCTGGTAATGACAAAGAAATCGCCACAGCTCATGCCGAGAGGAATCCTTCCGAATCTCTTCATGAAATTCAGTATCTACATGAAAATATCATATTAAGTAGGCAGAATGATTTAAGTAATTATGAATGTTTGAAATAAATACCTTTAACTTCTTAGTGATGCAGATTTGCAGATAACTGAATTTCCTGATTTCTTGAAACGATCCGTAAGCCTAAACATAAGATGTCAGTGAAATTTTAAGTTCCATAAAAGAATATATTCTTCTAACCAGTGATTCTCAACCACTCAAAAATCTCGCTTTGAAGTGTGCCGCCACTGCGAATACCCATACATAAGCGACGTTAGACAAGTAGTTCAATCGGTTCTACCTTCCTAGGGCGCGTTTGGTAATTGTAACTGATGTGACAGGTAACTGCCGGTAGTTTCCAAGGGGTTTGGAAAATGTTATCTAAATAACCAACTGCGTTTAAAAATTACTGTTATGATGTCACCGGCTGTCCTGCGGTACTTACTGAAGTAACCCTGTTTTCCGCCAAATTTTTAAATTATTAAAAGTTTACCGTGACGAAAAAAAGGTTGAGAATCACTGTTCTAACTATTAAAAATAAAATACATTTCTATAATTTAGGTCTAGTAGTAAACATAACAGGACGTTGCCTGCATATATGCATTTTTGTCCTTTAACTCTTTTGTTGGCTCTAGTAGTGTTAAGGTTAATTTCTAGTGGCACTGCCGCTCATTGGATTAATTATGACAAATATTAAGAACAACATAGGTGCTGCTATTTCATATAATACTAATAGTAGCTTTTACGAACTGGTAAATAGTCTAAGCAAGATGCAAAGCGAAAATACTTACAGCAGTAGAAACGGTGGAGATGATGAAGATAAAATAAAGCCACGCAATTATGGTGATGCCAAGAAAAACAATTATTTTTAAAGTGTATACGATGTCATATTTTCCAGACGTCATTATAATATTGAGAAAAATTGCAAGTAACCAGATGAGTAAAGTGTATATAAAAAATATCGAACTTTTATAATGGTCATTCAAGCGATGGACCTGTTCCATTAACTCTGTATGCTTTACTATTATTATTTCTAATTCTGCGTACGCTCGATTACTTTTAACATCTTGCAATTCTTCAGACAATGCTGTAAAACGACTTTTAATGATGGTTACGACTACGAAAAATAACATGGCATTAACTGTCATATAACCAAACATGAAACAATCATTCGTTATCATGAACGTGGTGCAAATCAACGCCATCGTCCCTCCCTCCGCTTTATAAATATTGAAATATCTTTTTGTAATTATGTCAGACGATTGACCAACTATAAGATAGATAACCAATGCCAATTGCAATTTCAGTACGATATTGATGATATTTTCTATTTTGTACTTTTCTTCGGCATGACTTGTCTGTATTGAAAAAATAAGCAACTTGCGGCGGGTGATAGAAAATACGGCGGAGAACATGAAGGTAAGGATAACTATGAATATCAGAAAAATGAATTTAATTTCTGAAAATTCGTTCAACCACGATTCGCAAGGTATTCGTATTGTACTGTCATAAAACACTATCATCAGAATATACATAGTGGTGTTGATCCACATTACAAACTCCATAATCTGAGAACAAAATTTCCATATTCTGTTGGATCGTGAAGGCAAATGAGAACAAGTTGCCAAACTTTCGCATCCATAAAATCGAGTAATTTCGCAGAGAGGATCGATTGTGCATCGAAAACAGAACATTTCCTGGTACTCTATCCCAGCAAACTTTTACTGTTCCTGTTAAAAGAAAATGCTATCTGATCGCTACATTTACTTCTTTCGTAAAATCGGGAAAATTTTATAGTGTTTACTCATTCCGTTTACATGAGTCATGCAATGTTTTCTTCAATTAATCGAAATATCTTAAATATCCCGTATCCTATTACTGTACCGATGCATAATTTACATTCATAAGATATATTATAAAGTTAAAAATGCACTTAATGAATGATTTATTACGTAAAATCATTAATGTTCATGCTTCCTAATTGTATTAAAGTAAAATATTATTGTGTATAGAGCAGACAAAACCATTGCACTACTCTAGTGGTTTGCTACTGTTACATTAATTCGATGGCAGGAGATCATGCCGACAAAACTCATCGGTTATCCCCTTCAAGTTATTTTTTCTTTTTTACGCTGTTCAGATTGTCTCCTTTGGGGTATTTTAATCGGACGAAAAAAGTTCGGAATTAAATATGAGACGCTCTGCGATTGTATAATTCAAATTATATCGTAACACTATTAACAATTTCGGACAATTTAACATTATTTGATAATGTAATAGAATCTCTGCATCTGACGACATTTGTCCTTGTATTACTTTTATGTCTGTTTTTGGCTTTATTAAGCTGCAATATGAAAAATTGCAGATCCATAGATCCCCACTGTCGTCTTCGTGTATCCGTCCGTCTGTCATTTCTTAATCTCGTGAACGCAGTAAGATAGATGAATGTTGAGACGAGTTAAAAACGTCTAGTGGCAGAAACCCCGATTAACTATATAGTTACTACGTTAGGAATAGAGGAAACCGTTAGTCACGTTATTTCAATTCAAAACTTTTTCCCGAAAGGAGTTAATAGATGATTCGAACGACTCTCTTGCTTACAGAAAGAGTGTGATGTACAAGCGCAAGACATTACTAAACTGTGGTAGAGAGCATACATTTTAAATTAAATAAATTAAAAATATAATTATAAATTGTAGCCCGCTATTGTGACGAGGCCAAAATAAATAATATCTCGTTTATTTATAACTTTATTAAATACTTCATCTCTGGGAAATGTGAGCAAAAACTGTAATTCTTCAACGAATTTTGTGGTTAAGATCATTCTGTTGACTATTAACATTCGTGGTCATAAAATTATAAAGTAATATATGTTAAAGCTTTTATTTCTGTATTTTTAGCGTATCCGCATTAAATGTTATATCAATTATAGAGAAATGGGGACTTAAATTAAGAACTGGATTATTTGTTCATTTTGTTTCAAGCTTAATATCTTGTCTGCCTTTTTGTCCAAACTTTCTGAAATTTTGCAGAGGGGTTTGTTTATTAGAGGATCGTTGCTATTAAATTTTGGTTATTAAAAGACGAGGGGTGGAAGAAGAAGAAAATCCTGTGTATCTCCAGTAGGGTCAGACTTAATGACGATTTAACTCGTTATTAGCATTTTCAATTTTTTATAAAACTCATCCCTACTTTAAAAATTAAGCTTTTCGTCATCTTATAACAGTTATAAATATAAAAATTTTTAGAAATAAAATATCATAAGAGATGGCGACACTAAACGTTACCGGGAATGTTAAGCAACTCGTTGCTGGATTTTTGAATAAGTAATTGCATAGCTCTGCGTGTATGTTCAAGTGCTTAATATGTTTGTTGACTAAAAAGCCATTTCTAGGTTTTACAGGTACATTTATATTTTTCTATCATTCCAAACCACTTACGAATTATTTGAAAAATCAGAATTTGACATTTCCAGTGTTTTCAATGCTGTGATCGTTTTTCCTTGAAATATTTTCAATGCTAATGATACATTCTGTCTTTCGAGTAGTTAAATGTAAAAAATTAAATTCTTATATACTTACTGTAGACTTTCCACAGCGTAACACAGTACTATATGCTATATGCTAGTCAGTAATTATACAGCGCGAAATAAATGCGCTATATCATTGTCACAGTAATCAAATAAATATAATATATATTTATAAAAATTATATTTTTTTTGTAAGATTCATATTTAGTGTATTATTTTTGTTGCATTGTTGCCAATAGTTGGCGTTACGATTAAGTTATTCACTCGAATATAGATAGAAAATAATTGATTTTTAGAAATTTATTCGATATTTTGGGGTGGGGTTACCTAAATTAGAAGTATATGAACGTAACTGCCACGTTTCGTTGCAATTAATCGAACGGCCTACGAGTGTATAGCGAACAAACAAACAAACAAATATTATCATTTATTGATAAAGATTTATTATGTAAAAATAAAAACTGTGCTTTTAAAATATTTAAATTTATTTTTTTAATCTGAATTTGTAAATGCTTTATCTTTATGTCTTTGATTAATGCAATTACTTTTACACTAATGAACACCAGTTCAGAAGAAATAATTTTAGAAGGATTAGAAAAGTAATAGTTGCTCGTTTTACCAGATAGCAATTCAATGTATTTCTATTTATTCTGTTATTCCCAGCTATGATGGAAATAACTTTAATCAAAGTAATTCTATGATATTCTTTAACATTTTATGCAAATCTGCTGCTGTTAGTTTATTAACTAGGATTAATGAAATCGCTTCTTTAACTTTTGAACGTTTGGATGCAGCAATGGTTGTATAACTTATCTCTATAAATTAAAAGAATGATCCGATGTTAATAAAGTGAATGAAAATTGTTTGCTGAAATTAATTTTTCTTAATACATTAAAGGAATGTGCCTGACGTATCTGAAATAAATGAAAACAGTGTGCTAGAAATGGCAGTAAAATATTTTTGTGTGCGTGAAAAGAATGAGCCCAACGTAACTCGAGTTACTGAAAGTCCTTTTCCGAAAAAGATAGTAAAATTTTTTTATGCCTGAAAATAATCAGAAAACTAAAGTGAACTGAATGAAAATCATGCGCTGAAAATGGTAGAAAAATTTAACTGTATACATAAAAACAATAAGCCAGATGAAACTGAAGTGAAAATAAATCATTTGCTGAAACTGGCACTAAAATTTTTGTGTATAGTGTATAGCAATCAGGCAAATGTAACTAAACCGGATGAAAATCGTGTATTGGTTATGGTGATAAAATTTCTTTGTATACTTGTAAATAATTAGTAAAGATGGAATTCAATCAAATTTACACTATAATATGGTTCTGTCTATTGGTTCTTGTATACGAAACGTCTCTTTAATCCAAAAACTTGTTTTTTGGATTAAAGAGACGTTTCATATACAAAAATCAAACAAATTACTTTAATTTCTTGCAGACGACTTACAAGTTCTTTATACACTTGAAAACAATAGTCCAAACAAAATTTTAGCCAAATAATATGTATATTTTCTGCACTGTTTGATAGTAAAATATTTGTATATGCTTCAATGTAATGAGTAACTTTAATTTAAACACAACTTTATCTTCTGCAAAATGTTTATGTTAAATACTTCTGTATACTTCTAATCATGAAACTGGTAGAAATTAATATTCATTATGGAGAAACTTGAATACATTTGAAAATAATAACGAAATTATATATTATGGACTTTTCTTTCATGTTTTACTTCAGAATAGTAATAACTTTTTACTTTAAATATGAGAAAATAATATAGAAATTACTATATTCTTATGAATGTATGTATTTTTCATCGTTAAAAGTGTAAATAAACTGACTCATGTTTATACTTTAATGAGTTTTTATTGCTTATTCAATTCCAGTGTTTTCTTCTATTCTCGTTTAAGTAATGTTCAATGCTTCGTAATAGTTTGAAAGTATAAATTAATAAATTTGAAGTGTTGGACATCGTAAACTCTATTTTATTGCTACATTTTTCGTGTCTTGCTCGTTACTCAACCTTTATGGAAACACCTTGATTATTTTGCAATTGTGAGAACCCTCACTTCAATCAAAAATAACATGTTTTTGTTATATATCTTTTGAAAATTATCAACTACTACCTGAGAACATCTTGTTATACGTGTTCTCGACGGCGAAAGCGACTCTTTCCCGCGATCTTTTAACCTCCAGTCCGTATGCTACCGATTTTAATATGAAAATTGACGGCCCGTTGAAGCAGTCGTCCACGGACACGTTAGTGCTGTGCCGCCTATCTCAATTAACTTCGTCACCAACGAACTTCTTAAGTTCCTCATATTTAGAATAACTTCGACGCCGACCCCTGCGAAAATCCTACATTTCATCTCTACTTCCAGGAAATTACCTCATCAAATACTTATCATAAACTCCTATAAACTGCCAAACTTCTCCCGTCTTTTACCGTCGAAAGACTGATCGAATCCTCTCCTGCCGATCAACTCATTTCAGGTATTTATGTCTCCGCGCGATATCACGTAAACTCTCTCTCTCGCGACCACCTACAGAATATAGGTCAGTAATTTCGATACATTACGATGTGTATATATTACGTAACCTTTTTTCTTTCAGTGCATTACTTCTGTCAGTTCTCCACCCGGAATCCGATCGCTTACGCACGCGACCGCTCGCGTGACCTAGTTTATAACAAAAACCGTTCGACTTCTGTGTCGAAGGGACACAGTGGTGTCATCCTGACGAGGCATCGAAGAGGTGCCGACCCTCCGGTCACACCATCCTAACGTGTAGCATATATGAAAGAAAATTATTAGAAATTTTCATAATTCGCATTTAGTAAACTGTACCAACCATTTCCATAGTTTATTCCGACCTGTTTAGTATAATATAAATTCGAAAACACCAGAGTATTAACATAGCATGTTACATTTTTACGGTTTACATTGTGACCATTAAATACGACATACCAATAAGCAATATAAACTAATAATTTAAAATATGATGTAATCTTTATCACTTTGGAAATTAGAATGAAAATACAAAGAAGCTGACACTGCAAATTAGTCCCAATACAAAGACAGTTTTGACAAATGAAATACAATAATATTTCCTGTAAAAATAATAATAAACAATTATAAACTGTACTATTTACAAGTAGAATTATGTAAATAGATACTTGCCTTAATAAAGTTTTTTGACTTCGCGGGATGGTCGAGTCGTCTTCCTTCAGAACGTATCTCCTCGTGCCCAGAACGTAATTTTCCAAGTACTTGTCCCAACTGAGCTTTGAAATATCGAAATTGAAGTTCTGAAATATAATTTCGATCACTTTTTATAGTTTATGACAAGTTTGCTTATTTCTCAATAGACCCGAAATTCGATTATTTTTCTATTTTCCAGTTTGTGCCGTCATCATTTCATATTCTGACATAAAACTGAAATTTACTAATACTCCATGGCTGAAAAGTCAGTTGACCGTTGAAAAAAGTATACTGAAATTATTCAAATAATTATGTACAAATACAATTCCTTTAGATACATTTCTTATTGCGCCAATTCTGTTATTTTGTAACAGTGGCGTTGCAAAATAATTTGATTTTTACACTTAAATCTTCATAAGAGTTTATGTATTTCTGGTAGTTTTATGGAGATGTATTGTTTTTTTATTTATTTATTTCTCAAAAAGACACTGTGGCCATGTTGGCCTTTTACAAGCATCTTAAAGCAAAAATCAACAAAACCTACGACAAAAAAAAACAGGATGCGAGCTGAGTAAGAAAATTACATTCTACCTCAAGTCCAAAAATTAATTGAGAACAAATATCACTGTGGCTTAAAGTTTTTTTTCCTCTTTTTACATTCTTTTGGAAGATTTCATAACTCGATATGTTACGTAAATCGTTGCGCAGACTATTCCAATAGAAAATTAATTGAAAGATCGGTGCAGATCTCCCCACCTCTAGTTTAACAATTGGGAGACTATATTCACGAATTATACGAGTATCTCGTGTCGATCCGCGACATTCTCCTGTACCAATTCCGAGGAAGCCGTTTTCCTTTTTGCCCTTTATATATTTGAAACCCTCCAATAGAATCTGTTTCTTGTAAATTTCACTGATCTTGTCAATATTATTAATGCGGTAGAGTTCGGATACCGATTCCGTAAAGTTTAAATTATAAATTGAACGCGTGTAACGATTTTGCGCCATCCGAAGTTTATTTACTGCGTATAGAGATGCGGTTCCCCATACAGCGATACCGTATCTTATTTTAGATTCGATGCGAGTGTGGTACGACCGTTTCCAGAGTGATGTGCTTAAAAAAGCTCGAATTTTCTTATTTATCCTAGTATACTTTGCCGGGGAAAGCGCAACATCATCTATATGTTTATTCCGGCGCGGATTGTCGTCAAAAGTTACTCCCAAAAACTTAATAGCGTTTACTTTTTCTATGTTATAATCGATTATTTCGATTTTTAGGTAATGCGGATTGATTATTTTATTCCTATTTGCAAAGCGGAGGAATTAGTTTTATTTTTGTTAATTACTAATCCATTGTTTTCCATAAAACTATTTAAAGTTTTTAAAATGTGATTTAAATTCTCCCGAAGAATTATAACGTTCGTACGAGAATAAGTTATCGCTAGATCGTCAGCGTACAGTACATCGGTATATTCTCTTTTGGTATATAGTTAAATAAATCATTAATATATATATTGAAAAGCGGTGGACCCGAGATCGAACCTCGAAGAATTTACAAAGTAAATTCAGTTTGACAAGTATGATTTTAACCAGCTTAGAGGAGTCCCTCTTAGACCAACAGTTTGTAATTTTTGATACAAGAGTTCGTGATTTAAGCTATCAAATGCTTTTGAAAGGTCCACAAAAACTGATATTGCTATTTTCGATTTGTCGAGTTGTACATAATAATATAATAGCGATAACTGTTTAACTATAATTAGCAATTCTTGTTAATATTTAACGAGCATAATATAAGTAAACAAAATATAAAATACTGTATTACGTTCGTAACATGGAACCCTACCTGCTTATCTTGTGTCGACATGGATTTAAATAATTTCTCCACGTTATCGGCTCGAAACATCCATTCTCTTACACAAAAATATTCTAATACTTCCATCGTCTTGTGAACATTTTTGTAGATTTTCATCATCCTAAATTATAAATAACATGAATATGATTTGATTTACAATACACGATCAGCTTTAAAACAACATACATTGGTTTTCTGCGGACAGCAACTTGAAATGTATCGTATAACATTGCAGGAAAATAATGCTGCATCGCAATGCATACACGATTCCAGTAATAATTCCTCTTAGATACGGTTTCTGGATATAAAAACATATTCTCCGAAGGATAATTCCAACGTAGCACGGTTAAACATTCTAAAAGCATGCGCCAAGTTAACGGGTTTATTGATCCTGAAGTGCAATTGTATACTGGGATTTCATCTTCTCTGAAAAAAGATTAAACTCTGAGGATTTATTCATGCTTTCCGCATAAAATTAATGAAGTTCTAATGTTTGTTCATTTCTTACAAAGGGATTAATATACTAAAAAAAGTGTGTTTCTGTTGTCTTGTTGTTTTCTAGTGTAGATTCGTCGTTTACACTTTAGAGAATATCTGCTAATCGCACTTGTTTATGTGAGGATTTGAAATTGAAGTTATATTTTGGCACTTTGTAAACATTCGCGTATGTAACAGTTTTACTGTTAATATGCAGAGAAAAATCTGCAGAATGAAAATTAATTACGACGGCCACAAGCATCAGATGTCAGTCTATAACTGTAAGACACCAGATTTGAATTTGAACAAGAAACTCCAGGGACTATTTATGAGAGATCTATTCTGGATATGTCTAGTTCATCTTCCAGTATTTTGCCACCTCAGATGTGAGCTCGATCCAACCAATGACAGGTACGGAAAAACACCTTAGGTAACTAGGCGAAAAGTGAAGAAAATAAAAATATATCATAAATATATATATATTCATCTGTCTTCACCTAGTAGAATCTATCAAGTATATACTGTATGTGTAAGAAATAAATACATCTTAGTTTTTAAATATTGTCTCTTTTAAATCAGAAAATTTCGTACAGATGTTGATGAATTTCTTAATTTCTTACTTTATTTAAAGCAATTCAGCAACTTTACTCGGTTGTGTTATAACGAATCGTTTAATATTTCTGTTCAGCGAGATTTTTAAAACAGTTTACCTTCGGTGAGGAATTATTGTCTTTCTCCAAGCCGCAGCTAACATCAAATTAATCGCTGTGTCTGCAGGAATTAAATCCAGGCGTTTACCTTCATCAGTCCACATGGTGCTGATAAGTCCTTTCACTCCCTGTAAGTACGAAACTTTTAATCCTGTTTTCATGTCTAGAACTATTTAAATATACTTACAGCCGCAATTAAAGAATTTGGACCGCTTAAGCTGTCGTTCCATCCCTAAATAGAATAATTTGTAGTAACTACGTACGAATAGATAACATACTTTGATATAAAATAAAAAGTCCTCACGCAAATAGGTTCCGTCCAAGTGCATCCTACAATAGAAGGTCTAACAATTATTATAGGCAAATCTCTACAGAAATTATTTAGATAAATTTCTGTTATGGCTTTTGTTAAAGTATAGGTGTTGGGTCGACCTTCTAAAATGTTTTCATCTGTTATCTCTAATGAATGATTGATTTGTAGACTGCAATTAAAAAATGTGATCATCATAAACGTAAGAAATAAAATTACAGAAAAATGCATTTAAGATGTCGTAATATAATACATACTCTGCGATAATCTTATATTCTTCATACGTTCTGGACATTGTATAGATTTTCTCATCCACTTCCTCTCTATTGCAGAACGAATAAGCTGTAGATGCGTGCACCAATACCTGAAGTATACAACCCGCGTTATAGCCTTTTTACCACAATTATAAATAAATATAGCTGCAACAAAATGTATGAAAACCCATAATTAACATTTTAAAACAATTGTTTTAAAATACTGTGTTTACAGCTTCAATGGTTTTAAGATAAATTTAGATGTAAAGAAGTTTTGCATTTGAAAAAGCTCCCGTTAATTTTTGAAATATTAAAAAGAATTGAATATCAATGATATGTACTGGGACAGAAAAATTCTTGAAGAACTCCGTAACCGTCTTCATCTTGCGAATAAGTTAGCAGTAGAGTCACGTGGGGCTCGGGAGCTGTCAAAAATAAGATTATGCGAGTTCAGGGTCTGTCATGCCCCTAGGTGTGTTTTGTCGGACACACCTCCAATTCAGATAAGAAAAAAAAAATACCAATTATTTAGGATGCGAGGGTAAGAGTCACTCCGAAGTCCAGAAATGAGCCTCTCAGGAGGATGAATGCAAAGTCAAGTACAAATAAAAGAGAAGTTTATTATCGAAAAACAAAATTTTAACCAAAATTATAAAATCCGATTTAGGAAGTTGACCTACTTCTATCTATAAAATTGGGGGGTGGTACCTTGCGGGGGTATCCGAACTGCGCAACTCACAACATACCAGGAAGTGTGTAGTCTTCTCTTCTTTCTTCACTTTCTCCCCCTGTTCTCTTCACTTTTTTGTCTTTTTTTTCCTTTACTCGGTCTTACACTAGGTCCGTCACTAAGTTGGTCGTTTCCCGTCCGGTCAATCAGTCAGTCGGTCCGCTAATTTCGTCATTTTTTTCTATTTTATTCATCGTTTTTGATTTTGACCAATCATGCTCTTGTTCCGGGGGAAGTTGAAGTAATTTATGAAAAACACTATTGGTCACCCGGTGGTCCTCCTTCTCTCTTGTCAACCAAGAATGATACGCGTCCATATGACGTAGGTGGCATATCATCGGTCACCCAATATCATCGTAAAGGGGGGAAACAGTGGTCATCCCCTTCGTCGTTTCCTTCGCAAGTCGTGAGATTTATAAAAACTTATTGATAACTTTTTTCTTCCAATTTGTTTTTCTAAATTATTTTAAATCGATATTACTAAAAATTTGTCTAAAGGGGTCCCTAAAATCGAATAATAGCCGAAATTCCTTTACAACGTTGGGTGATAGATAAACAATCTCGGTGTCGCGTTTACATACATCTCCGATATCCTGTCTCATAGTTAACAATTGCTTCAGACAGAACAAAAAAGGGATATAAAATGCATATAGAGTTTAAAATATAATAAAATTTCAACTGATTAATGAAATCATTATGAACTAAAAGATTAAAATAAAGTGATTAAAATTATACGAATAACGTAAATAACAATTCATGAATATATATACATATATATATAATAATAAGAACAATTTTTGGGGGGAAATGGTGAGTTTCGCAGTCATAAATTTGCGAAAGTTGCAATGTTGCAAACATTTATATGTTTTAAAAATTGCTATGTTTAGCATTGTATATTAAAAAACAGTTTGGAATTAAAATATTACAGAATATTTACCAATAAATGTTCCATTTGGCGACAAACTTCGATCAGATTTCTCGTCGTTTCCACATTATTCATGAAAGAATCTCTACAAATTAAATCAAAATAAACACGAAATTCATGGACGAAATTTATGGAAACGCTTAATTAACGTAAAACTTACCGAAAAGGTTCGTTGAATTTAACTGAAGCGGCCAAGTGAAACACTACCGAAACATTCTTCTTTATCAAACTCATATGAGTAGAGGAAATTCCCAAATTCTGTCGAGACATATTGCCTTCGATACATTCCACTTGGTTCGAAATATCCGAATTTTTCAATAAAACTTCTTCGAAAATCTTTTATAAATACAAAAATGTATATACAAATTTAATGCTAAATTACATTAAATTAAACATTTCACGAGACTTATAATTGGAGTGAATTATTACATCATACACATTCGCATTATTATAAATGTGAAAAGCCGAGAAATTAGGGGGTAAAAGTTCTAAGCCCTTCTTTCGACGTGGAGGATGGTAAATTCTCACTCAAGCGTCACTGGATGGCAGGATCCGAGCGACGGGGGGACGGATAATACCTGATTAGTTCTAGCGGCGAGACATCCGAGAAAGTTGGCGGATCCTTACAGGAGGCCAGAAGGATGAGATCTAGTAGTAGAGGGTTTCCTTCGGCGATCGCCCCGACGCTCTTATTATCTCATAATTCCATCCGTTTGACAGTTTCCCATCATTAACAGTCTAAAGTTTTAACATAAATCCAAACATCGAAATGACTGTTGACTTAGAAGAATATTTGATCGGTCTTATCTATCAGTGGTCACCGGCAATGCCAGGTGGGAAAGAAAGGAAGTGGATATTTTCCACTTGTGTATTAACTGCGTATTAATTTAACTAATTAGTTTAATTGCCTTCTGCAGACTCTCACATAAATGTGTTAACTTTTACATAATATGACGTTTTTGTCACGCTTTCTGCAAATATACGAAATATAGTTTTGTATTTTGAAGGGACTGAGACTATTATCTGTTTTTCGAATGTTGAAGTTAGAAAGTGTAACCGGATTCATGGGTGCATCAATAGTTACTTTGATTCTTGAAATTTATTCACTTAATAATTTAACTTTTAAATCTTCTCGCAACGTACTTTCTTCTATTAAATCTTAGTATTATCTTGTAATCTTATCTCATCTTATTTAATTGATATTTAGGAAGTAATTTTTGTGTCAATAACGTCATCCTTTTTATTTTGTTTCCAATATTTCTTTTGCTAATATTACTGGTCGAAAAATTGAAAAATTCTGCCAACTACTTTAATCGGTTTCTGTGACAGATTAGTTTCAATAAGTAAATTACCTTTAAGACAGTTGTTGCAAGTTGTATGAATTTATTTCATCCAGGAAGCTTCTTTTAACAAAGATTTTTCTGAGTTGGTGTCTTTTACATTCGCAATCACGTTTAAGAGATGATCATTTTTCTTAGTATTGTTTAATTTTGTATATATAGACCAAATACATACCTTGATTATCGTGAAAACACGAATCTCTTAAACACAACTTTTTATTATTACGTGGGTTTACAATTAATTAATAAATATACCCTACGATTTTGCCATGCAGTGAAGTTTATATATCAAGAGTATTGATGCTATAAAATTTTGGTAGTTACAGGTCGAAGAGTGGGGAGATAAACGGGATCGTGTGTCGTTTTTCGAGAAGGGTCGGACTTAATGACGATGTAACTCGTTATTAGCATTTACAATTTTTGTATAAAACTCATCCCTACGCTCAAAATTAAGCTTTTTTACCATTTTGTAATATTTAATTATGTGAGAGGTCGGACTTGGAAAGGAGAAAACCCCACAATTTTATTCGGAAATTTTCGAAAGAAAATTCATTTGTCGTTTTGAAAAGGAAATTTATTTAAAGCTCAGAAAAAAAAACTTTTTTCATTTTATTATCGGAGGATGAGCGCATTTCTCTTTTCGGAGTCGTTTCCTTTCCCAGGGAACTCAGGATGTGTCACTGGGAACTACAACTAAAAATTCACTATTGGTGGAAAGCGACAACGTGACATGGAAATAAAGAGGAGACCTCGAGGAACTGTGACAGGGGTCGAGAGTCCGCGAGATTATTCTCCGTGTGCCAGCCGAAAGGATTTATCATCGTCGCTCGTCGCCGCGCGCTCCTCCGGAATATCCAGTGTTTCTCCGGGAACACCTACGAAGAATTAACGGATCTCAACTTTCGATAGACTTTAACCGCCATTCGAGGCAACGGAGACATTCCCAAGGCTCCCCAACGACTCCACAGACATCTGGAAATCCGTACATAGTGCTTCGGGTATTTATAACGACCCGCGATGTTACGTAAGCTCTCTCTCTCTCCAAGTCGGTTCTCGAGAAGAAGCTTTAGAATAAATACTCTTTTGTAGACTAGTTTAATAAACGAATTTGGTTATTGTTAGAATCGTGTTGGGTTCACTTCCTCGAGCGGTCTCCATCCCGAGTCCAACCGCCCACAGACGAGACTGCTCGCGCGTAATTGCGAACGTAACCCAGTGTGTCTACCCAGAAGACATAGTGGTGTCAGTCCTGATAAATCTGTCATTGCAGTCTTTCCGACGCAAAGTCGACCCTTCGGTCCTGTGGTGCCGAAGCATAGAGCATTCGGCCGAAGCATAGACCCTTCGGCATTGTCACAATTATATCAAAAGTTTTTTCAATAAAATATTATGAAAGATTTACACACATATAAAAAGTATTTGCCGAGAAAGTTACGTAACTCGTCGGTAGCTTTTTCAATAAAAATGTTATTTTAACTTACTTTGCAACGAAACAATTCGTTCTTCCTCTCATCCACGGACATTCCTTTCTTGCTTCTAACTAAAATGTAAATTTTTCTAGCATTGCAAGTTCTCAGCAATTTCTCTAGAAGAATCTACAAATGTCAGAAAAATAAAATGTGACTAAATTAAAAACATAATCATGCATAAAGGATACGATGTAGAAATGCTTACTTTTCCCAAAAATCCCGTGGCTCCAGTTACAAATATGTCACGATTTTCATAAAATTTCAATACGGACATCGTTTTTCTCGTGGATCTATCAAATATTCAATGGAATGGATTTAATGCGAACGCTTATAAAGCGAAAACTCGATAAAACGAACCGCCACGAGACCGAAGAAGTTGATCCGTTAGGCTATAAGGAAAGTCGTTTTATCGCGATTATTTGTTATTACAGACTCGTCCGTTATATCGAAGAGTCCGTCACTGTACATTAAAATCACGTTAGAACGGACTCGGAGAAAATATTACCGTTAAAAATTGTTTTAAGACAAACATTCCGAATAATTGAAATTGTCGGTTTACTCAGATATAGTCCTTTATCAACTTCAAATGGAGATTTTTCATCTTTAATCTGGCGAATTGTATCTGTCTTTTGTGTTAAATCTAAAGTTTATTGTTTTATTTTATGATTCAAAGCTTTGTTTTGTACAACAAATTGAAATCTCGAGTTTCATAGATTAAAAAGAAACTAAAAGTGAACAAGTAGGCGATTGGAAAACAAAAAAACTAGATAAAATCTAAGATGAAACAATGATTAAAACAATAATTTTCTATTTGTTTATATTACTTTTATATCTAATTTTGCAAGGAAAGTAAATAAAACGACGACTACGACAAAATAATTCGATGAATAAAAGAGGCAGCAACAAATTACTTAAAGTACTGTACGCTGTGGCACTTGTTTTTAGTAATGTACGGTACAGTACCATGTCGGGTTAACAGAAGTCAGTATGCGAGGCCCGTAAGCAATTAAATTAAAGACAAACCATCGAAAAATCTACAAAATATCGTCGTGTCTGAAAAATATTAAGATGCTCGTTGAGTAATAACAGTCTCGTGACCTCCGGATCAGTAGGTGCTAAAATAATGCAGTGTATGCTAATGATACGCAGCGATTTCATTTAATATTATTTTGTTTATCAAAATCTGTTAAAATTGGACGAATACATTAAAATCTTTAAAAGAGACGAGATACACGGGTTAATTAATTAGTCTAAAGACGAAAAAATGTCGCTCGCTAACTTCTACTTGGTGAAATTGCATTTCCAATGTCATAATGCCACTCTAATTTTAAGAGATTTTAAGAAAAACATTTTACGTTAAAATAACGACAAAACTAATTTTTTCTTTGTTTTGTTTTTCTTTCCCTTCTCGTCATTTATTTAAAATAATAAATAGCGAAACCAAAGTGTTTAACGACTGGAAACGAATTTGGGTTCGATTTTGGCTATTTAAAACTATTTATTATTATTTACAATGGTACCTCAGGATACGAAATTAATTCGTTCCAAAACTAAGGTCGTATTATGAAAATGTCGTAAGGTGAATCATTTTTCCCCATACGATTACATGTAAAACCAAATAATTCGTTCCAACACGAAAAACACACTCAAATTAAAGCTAAGTAGTACATTAAAAAAANAAAGTTTTTTCAATAAAATATTATGAAAAATCTACACACATATAAAAAGTATTTGCCGAGAAAGTTACGTAACTCGTCGATAGCTTTTTTAATAAAAATGTTATTTTAACTTACTTTGCAACGAAACAATTCGTTCTTCCTCTCATCCACGGACATTCCTTTCTTGCTTCTAACTAAAATGTAAATTTTTCTAGCATTGCAAGTTCTCAGCAGTTTCTCTAGAAGAATCTACAAATGTCAGAAAAATAAAGTGTGACTAAATTAAAAACATAATCGTGCATAAAAGATACGATGTAGAAATTCTTACTTTTCCCAAAAATCCCGTAGCTCCAGTTACAAATATGTCACGATTTTCGTAAAATTTCAATATGGACATTGTTTTCCTCGTGGATCTATCAAATATTCGATGGAATGGATTTAAATAAGGTGAACGCTTATATAGCGAAAACTCGATAAAACGAACCGCCACGAGACCGAAGAAGTTGATCCGTTATAACGAAAGTCGTTTTATCGCGATTACTTGTTATTACAGACTCGTCCGTTATATCGAAGAGTCCGTCACTGTACATTAAAATCACGTTAGAACGGACCCAGAGAAAATATTACCGTTAAAAATTGTTTTAAGACAAACATTCCGAATAATTGAAATTGTCGGCTTACTCAGATATAGTCCTTTATCAACTTCAAATGGAGATTTTTCATCTTTAATCTGGCGAATTGTATCTGTCTTTTGTGTTAAATCTAAAGCTTCTCGTTTTCTTTTATGATCCAAAGCTTTGTTTTGTACAACAAATTCAAATCTCGTGGTTCATAGATTAAAAAGAAACTAAAAGTGAACAAAGTAGGCGATCAGAAAACGAAACAAACACTAGAGAAAATCAACGACGAAACAATGATTAAAACAATAATTTTCTATTAGTTTATATTACTTTTATATCTAATTTTGCAAGCAAAGTAAATAAAACGACGACTACGACAAAATAATTCGATGAATAAAAAAGGCAGCAACAAATTAGGCTACTTAAAGTACTGTACGCTGTGGCACTTGTTTTTAGTAATGTACTGTACAGTACCATGCCGGGTTAACAGAAGTCAGTATGCGAGGCTCGTAAGCAATTAAATTAGACGCAGACCGTCGGAAAATCTACAAAATATCGTCATGTCTGAAAAATATTAAGATGCTTGTTGAGTAATAACAGTCTCGTGACCGCCGGATCACTAGGTGCTGAAATAATGCAGTGTATGCTGTGAGATCAGCCGGGGGTACAATCTATCTGTTAAGATGTTGGTACCACTTATTCGGCGCAGATTAAGCGAAATCTGTTCTCTTAGTTTCGGATGTTTTGATCCGATCTTATGTCAAGATTTTGACCGGGAGGGCTTTTGTAACCGATCCAATTCGCGAGATTCGGATCTACGTCAGGATTGACACCAGTTTATCTACTTCTCGTTACGCGGATAAACACGCGTGTGATTATGCCGTAGATTTGATTCAGAGAGTTAACACGAGACATTTCTTTAACAAAAATAAAGAAAATTTAATAACTAAAAATAAACTAGATTAACATCTAAATTTCGACTATATCTCTTAATCAGCGACCAATCAACATACTGTTCTTCACCCACGTGAACGGATGAAAAGGGGAATAAATGAGGGGTCGTCAGTTCTCATGGTGGTGAGATTTTGTAACAGATAAGGGAAAAACAAAGGATGCTTCTACTTCCGTCAAAAGAAGTGGCTCTGTTATCTGCTTTCCCACGGTAGAAAACCATTATTTTCTCACGAAAACGAAAGAATAGTTTTATACAAAAATTAAACTTTAATTTTAAATTATCATTTAGACCTAAGGGCTATTCGGATCTCACAATGCTAATGATACGCAGCGATTTCATTTAATATTAGTTTGTTTATCAAAATCTGTTAAAATTGGACGAATACATTAAAATCTTTAAAAGAGACGAGATACGCGGGTTAATTAATTAGTCTATAGACGAAAAAATGTCGCTCGCTAACTTCTACTTGGGGAAATTGCATTTCCAATGTCATAATGCCACTCTAATTTTAAGAGATTTTAATAAAAACATTTTACGTTAAAATAACGAAAAAACTAATTTTTTCTTTGTTTTGTTTTTCCTTCCCTTCTCGTCATTTATTTAAAACTAGTAGCTCGGGACGCTCCCTAGTGGGCGTTCTTTACAAATTTCCACGAGGCACGGCAATGTTGCCACGTCTACCGAATTTTCGGTAGATCTACCGATTTTGGGACAAATCTACTGATCTACCGATTGAAGCACCAAATCTATTGAAAAGTTTACGATAATTCAAGAAAGAAATTTTTATTTTCAATGTATTTAAAAATTCTCAATATAACATTTCTTTGTACCTTCATTTCTTATGTATTGTAAGAGACTTTATTGCAAAGACTCTATCTCTTTTTGTTGAGAATATCTTGTGTCCGCTCCATTCTTCAGCTAATGTAGAAAGAATATTTTCGTAAATAAATCTGTTAAACACGAAACAAACAAATAAACTGAGCTCTGAAACAATCACTGCTTACTTCTTACTAAACAATTAATTGGAAAAAATTACAGTTAGGATTTTCCTGTAAAAGATAATTTAATTTCAAAAATAACAAACAGATTGTTAAAGAACGTACAAACGGAAGATATTGAATAATAATAATTATTATTAATATCCGAAAAATAAAAGGTAATATTTTGTTAGAAAAATAAAACAAAATGTACCTACTTAATTAGTAAATTATTATTTTTTTACGTAAGTGTTCTGTGTTAGTTTTTGTTTGNTTTCCTTCACTTCCACCAGCACTATCACTGGATAGAGGTCGCTTGGTAAAATATCTATCCAAAGAGGTTTGGCTTTGCCTACTTTTTAAAATGTTTCTAAAATGACTTAGGCAAATGTCATTACTCCAAGCAGCAATACGGCCAGTGTGAACCTGGCCGTATTGCTGCTTGGATACGGGATGTTTCTTTTCAATAAAATCGGTCACTTTCCGATAATATCTCAAGATTTCCTTTATCGAGCGAGACCCTTCCACGACGAAACAAACACGCCGACTGAGACCGATGAACAGAAGTGAATAAAAAATGGCGCTGCGAACTAATGTAACGTCGTATGGTGAGTTTTTGTTCGTATCGTGAAGCAAAAATATGTTCGAATTTCGTGTCGTATCCTAAAAATTTCGTATGCTGGGGCGTTCGTATCCTGAGGTACCACTGTATTATTTGAAGACAATTCGCCCAATTAGGAATCACCATTTATTAGTTTTCTGCATTTTAGACGATACAATTTCGGCGACCGACCTTCCTTTCTAGACTACTAGCCGCCAAAAATTTTTTAAAAAGTCCTTTAAAAAACACAAAAAAACACTTCCAATTAAAAATACAAAAATTTTCTAAAATCGGAACTGGTGGTTTTCGAATGTCTTTCCTTTTACCATCGGACGAAAAACACTTATGAATTATGACTGTAAAGTATCGTCACCAGGGGAACCTTTATGATCTACATTTTCCGGCGCTCACTTGTCTGTGGATAAAAGGCCAAAACACCCCAAAGGGTACAGATGGTAAAAGGAAAGACATTCGAAAACCACCAGTTCCGATTTTAGAAAATTTTTGTATTTTTAATTCGAAGTGTTTTTTTTTGTGTGTTTTTTAAAGGACTTTTTAAAAAATTTAAAAAAAAATTAGTAGCCTAGAAAGGAAGGTTGGTCGCCGAAATTGTATCGTCTAAAATGCAGAAAACTAATAAATGGTGATTCCTACTTGGATGAATTGTCTTCAAATAATAAAAAATAAAAAGAACCATCGGACGGAAAAAACTTATATTTAAAACTAATTTACGTTAACAAGACAAGAATTTAGGAAAAGCTGACCATTGCGACGATTCGATCTTTTTAATATTTATAACTATTACGTCAATAAAATTAAGAATCAGAAAAATTCTTACCCACAAAATGCGATGAGGAATTCGACTTCTCAGTTTCTCTGGAATACGTAAAATAAAAATATGCAGAATTTCCTCGTCTTTTATTAGACAAGGAAATTCTACATATTATTGTAGTAAACTAACTTTTATCTGTCCAATCACGACCGGTTTTTTATTTTATTGACTTTTACTTTTTCCTCTGTTACGCATACGTAACAGGGAAAAGTATTGGACTCGTAACAAATTTGATCATCCGAGTTTTTGGAAATCTTCACGTTTTAAGATCTTCTAGATCGAAATATGTAAAAAATCGGAAGAGATTTCGTGGTTATGTATATGTGCATGCGTATGTGTAGTACGTGTAATGACCTTTGTTTTGTTTAATATCTCAGAATGGAATAATCATTAAAATATGATTCGTGTTTAATAATTACCCCATTCTAAGACATTTTAAGCAAAATAGAGACCGACACGCCTACACGTCCACGGAATTTTTCCCCGAACTTGTTTACCTTTTTAGGATCAGATGTGAACGTAGAGATTTGGAAACCTCTCGAAGGGCCGAATAATTCTTTTTTATATATTCACGATAGCCGGAAAAGTAAAATCATATTTTTCACATAAAACTTTGTATAAATCTGTCTTTCAAGATAGGAGATTTATGCATAAGATGCAGTCTGTTTAAACACGCTGAAGTCTGAGAGTTCGTCACGCAATTGCTTCTATACCAGTCATAAGATTTCTATTACGCATCGTTGCCAAAACAATGGGAGAACTGTCAGCGTGTTGATGGGGAGCGCAGTACGTAGATAGAGAACGTAAATTGGGTCTATATAACACGTGCAGCTCCGTGGTCGTTACTGAAATTCCGAACAGAATTTGGATCCCTCTTCTATCGAGTGGACTCCGTCTCCGCTTGATAGTGGTGACCAGACCCTAAACACCGGAGTTCGATCGGGGGTTCGCGCCTCACTCGGACGAGCTGGCAGCAGGAGTTTTTCCGGGTTTTCCTCCTTGTCAATGACGCCTGAATAGGGGCCAGCTTTCCCTTCAAGTCCTTACGGAAGGCATTCTGTCTCCCTTTCTCGCGGGGGTCGTCTCCTATAAGGCCAGATTTGGTTACTATAAGGCCAGATTTGGTTACTTATTTTGGTTATTACCTCTCTATCTTCCTCGGATTGGTCGTCTTCGATAAGACCACTTCTTCGGTCGCTGTGCGACCAACTCCCCTGTTCCTTCGGAGTGAACAGCGCAGTGCAATAACACTCCACTACCGTCGCTGAAATGAAATGAAGTGGTGATGAAGATCCCTCTTCTATATTAAATACTTTTAAAATTAAATGAACTTATATATATTTCTACGACGATATCTAAAATCGAACGTTATACGAATATTATATAATACAGTGGAACCTCGGTATACGTCTGCTTTAGAATACGTCCAATTCGGAATACGTCCTGTTTGGACGAAACAAATTTTGCTCGGTATACGACTTTTGTTCGGTATACGACTTAATTCAATTATACCCGCCATCTATGAACAAGTAGCACTATCGTTGTACTACACTAGACTAGACGTTCGCGGTGCTACGGTTTATAACTTTGTTAAATTTCTACTGATTTTAATTTGTAAGTAACATTTTATTATTTTTATTAATCATGAATTGCAAAAGGGCAACAGAAAAATAAAAAAAT